CTGCAGCAGCAGCAGCAGCAGCAGCAGCAGCAGCAGCTGCTGCTGCTGCTGCTGCTGCTGCAGCAGGGGGAGCTCTGGGGGAGCGGGAAATGGAAGAAGCAACGAGAGGGGAGATAAAGGAGGAGTGAAAAAAAAGAAACTTCGGGAAAAAACAAAAATAAAAAAAGTTCAAAAGTGGCAATTGTTGTTTGCTGCTGCAGCTGCTGCTGTGCGCTTTAACTCTTTATCTTTATCTCGTTTGAGCAGCTGGAAGGGATTTCCAGAAACCCTAAACCCCAAACCCTAAACCCTAAACCCTAAACCCTAAACCCTAAACCCCAACGCTAGACGCCGGATCGGAAACTGGGGGAAGAAGCGCGGGAGACGGCCGCGTTTGTCCAGCAGCAGCGACGGCAAAGAAAAAAAGGGAAATTAAATTAAAAAGATTTTGAAGAAAAGATTTGAAGAAAAGATTTGAAGAGAAAAGAGAAGCAGCAGAAGCTGCAAAAGGCGAAGAGAGGAGCGCGTCGACTCACCGCTGGTCCAGGGGCCCCGAGGGTGCAAAAGAAACGTCTTTGTGATTACCGGGGAAAAAAAAGAAATGAATTTCAAATTCAAAACCAAAAATCGGAAAAAATTAAAAGTGATGCAAAAAGATGAACTGCGGATGCAGAAACCGCGGCCGCCGGTGTACGTACACCCCAGACCAGCACCCGCGCCGGTTCCGCCGCCCAACTCGAGGTGTCGCGACCGCCGAATTTTCGCTTTAAATTCCAATTTGGGGGTTTTTAATTCATTTAAAATTAAAAATAATTCCTTTTCTCTTTTGAAAACACTTTTTGGAGCCTCTGGCCGCGCAGAAACGCCCAGAAACACCCCGCGGGCTCGACACTCCCCGATCTTCGCCTTCGCTCTTCACTTCTTACTTTTCCGCTCTTCCATTTAAATTAAATTCCACAAATTTGTTTCATTTAAATTAATTTCAATAAATTCCACTCGCGCGATGTCGCTGCGGAGCTTCCAGAGTATGTCTGCTGCGCTGCTGCTGCACAGCGCTTCTCTCGAGTGCTTGTTACTGCAGCTGTTGCTGCTGCAGCTGCTGCTGCTGCTGCTGCTGCTGCTGCTGAGGCTGTTGCTGCTGAGACTACTGCTGCTGAGACTGTTGCTGCTGAGGCTGTTGCTGCTGAGGCTCTTGTCGTTGCAGCTGTTGCTGCTGCAGCTGTTGCTGCTGCAGCGGCTGCTGCTGCTGATGTTACTGCAGCTGTTGTTGCTGCTGCAGCTGCTGCTGTCGCTTTTTTATTTACCGTAGGCTCTGCCAGTATGATCTGTGCACATTCTGTATAATTCCTAAACCCTAAACCCTAAACCCTAAACCCTAAACCCTAGAAAACTGAGGGACGCCGACGAAGCAGCAAAACCACGCCTGAGTCGGCCTCAGCAGAATAAAAGCATTTATGAAATAAAATGAAAACAGAAGAGGACTTTGTAGGGCCTCCAGCTCAGAAGAGAGCAGCAGCAGCTGCTGCTGCAGCAGCAGCAGCTGCAGCAGCAGCAGCAGCTGCAGCAGCAGCAGCAGCTGCAGCAGCATAAGTAGCAGCAGCAGCTGCTGCTGCAGCTGCAGCAACTGCAGCAGCATAAGTAGCAGCAGCAGCAGCAGCAGCCGCTGCTCCCGCTGCAGCAGCAGCTTGTCTCCCTCTGTCTCTTCGTAGCTTTAAATGCCACTTCAATTAAAGCCTTTTTCGTTAACAGGAGCAGCTGCAGCAGCATAAGTAGCAGCAGCAGCTGCAGCAGCAGCTGCAGCAGCAGCTGCTGCTGCAGCTACTGCTGCAGCAGCAGCTTTTAAGCTTTTAAGCTGCTGAAGTTTGCACGGCGGTGGTGGTAGTCCCCTAGCAGCAGCAGCAGCAGCAGCAGCAGCAGCAGCAGCAGCATTGAGTACAACAGCAGCTGGAGCAGTTGCTGCTGCACTAGCAGCAAAACAGTTTCCAAGGTTTGTCGAGCTGCCACTTAAAAAGCAAAAATAAATTAAAAATACAAAATAAAAAACAGTTTTATATTAATGGCATTTAATTTTTGTTTTCCACTTTCTGAAAATCTCGAAATTGTGTGGGGTCTTCAGGTGTACGTACACCGCAGCCACCGGAGGTCATATTTGAAGACTACTTTTTTTTTCATATTTGCAAATAAATTTATTTCCTTTTTTGTTTGTTTTTAATTTATTTTTATAAATTATTTAATTACAAATTTCCAAGTATGGCTGCATGCAGAAGCTTATTCTTAAATTCGTGTCTTTGGTGAAGAAAAAAGTTTGTGAAAGAAGATGAAGTTCTTTTTAATTTCAATATTGTCTTATTTTAGAATTTCGTGTTTATTAATTAATTTATTTTATTTTTTT